ATCAGTAAATGCTGACTTAGGTGTGTTTTCGAGGATTTTAGTTCAGCTGTCATAGGAGGTTTTCCCTGAAGGCGGGGAGCTGATAATTTATTTCTAACTAAAACTGTCTTCTGTGTACTCTAGTTGTCCTAGTCAAATTTCTTTCATTTCATTTCTTTCTCTCTGGTCTACAGGATCAATCAATCACCAAATCACAACAGTTTTTACCTTCTAAGTACATTATGAAATTCATCTACATTTCTCTACTACCATTGCCACTACTTTATTCAAGCCTCCACTGCCTCTCCTCTATTTTATTTTTTTTTTTTTTTATTTTATTTTTTTTTTTGAGACAGAGAGAGAGACAGAACGGGAGGGACAGAGAGAGAGAGGGAGACACAGGAATCAGAAGAGGCTCCAGGCTCTGAGCCATCAGCCCAGAGCCCGACGCGTGGCTCGAAGTCACGGACTCAGTGAGATCAGACTCAGACCTTGACTATCGGGGTCGGACACTCAACCGACTGAGCCACCCAGGCGCCCCGCCTCTCCTCTATTTTAAAAGTTTACTGATTGTTTCCATTCTTGCTCATCGCATAATACATATTCAAACACCAACCACAGTGATCTCTTAAAACCACAAAAATCTGCTCGTGTCACGCCTCTGCTTCAATACTTCCGATGTCTCCTTACTTCCCCAGGATAAATTCCAACCTCCTCACCAAAGCTTATGCAGCCTTTCATGGTAGGTCTTCGATTTCCTCTTTCCTCTCCCTTCTCTTCATTTCAGATGCTATGAGCCCACATAGCCTCAATTATACTGAACTGCAGGGACTGTTTTACTATCAGTACCTCCTCTAATGAGTACGTTCATTGAAGGCAATGGCTGTGTCTTACTTGTTGCTGTATCACAACCAGGGCTTTGCCAGAGCATAAATATAATTAAAATAAAAAGTTTAAAATTAAATATTACCTCAGGATTCCATCAAACCTTTTACTCCAATTTTTCTAAAATTTTAACACAGGTTATTTTAGTACTGTAGTACTGGCCTAAATTCTAGGCCACTGGAGAAGTACAGTTCTCCAATAATCTTCATTTTAGATCCATCTACTACTGCACTCCATTCTGAAATAATGAACCTAGGTAATATTTATGACTTCTTCCACTCTTCAATCCTAATTATTAATAATTCCTTAGAAGAGAAGGAAAAGAGTTTAAGATGAGCAAGTCAGATTGTACTTACCCATTAGATTAAATGACTGACAATAAGGGTACCTGAAATAAGTATGGAGCCTCAGAGCCAGGGGAAAAATCAGTGACATGAACTACCTAGAAAAACTTAGATATCTGTGTAATATTCAGATGTGGATTCCCTACTGAAATTCATTCAAGCTTTATGAGTCTGTGATTTGCTTCACAAAATTTGGCCATAATGATTCAGTAATCTATTCTGCACTTCAGTTTCTAAACTTAAGTGAGTTTTTAAAACTTGAAACACAGAATCTGTTGGGGATTTTAAAATGTTACTTATCACAGTGAAGATTCTCCAACCCAATTTTAACACTTCTTATTTCAATCCTCAAGAATTCCTATTATTGCTACTACCTATCAATATTTACATGAAGTACAACATCAGGAATATTTTTCTAAGCATCCATGGCTTGAGATGGTAGCCATTAATCTAATAATTTCATATTGATTACATGTTGAAAGAACAATATTTTGGATATATATGTTAAACATATTACTAAAATTAATTTCATTCACATGGTTCTGTTCACTTTTTAAAATGTGACTACAAGAAAATTTAAAATTATACATGTGGCTGGCAATTGTGGCTTGCATTATGCTTCTATTGACTAGTAGTAAGCCTACTTAAAGAACTGACCAACACATCTAACAGTTTATCCAGTAAGAATGAAAAACATCATTGAGGGTCATACCTGAAATGAAACCACCAATGATACACAAAAGTACAAATGATCCCCGGAATTTTAAAATGATAAATCATGCTAAAAAAATCAAAGGCTGTTTTAGTAAAGTTTAATAAGGTCTTTTTCTTCTCTGAAATAAAAGAATTCATAGTTTTACTTTTATTTCATAGGAATAACCTTTATTTTTTAGTAAGTTATTCTCTCAGTATTAGCAGAATGCAAGAAATAGGGTTTCTAAGATATTAAGGTGACAGTTCCCCTAGGGCACAAAAAGAGTTAAGTAGTAGAAATGTTACCATGTTGTTATTTTTCCCTAAAAATAAATAATTAAATAAATCTTCTATCTACCTCACAACACTTCATTTGTGTATGTGTTTGAAGATATTATTTTTAAGTAATTTCTACATCTAATGTAGGGTTCGAACTTATAACCTCGAGATCAAGAGTTGCATTCTCTATAGACTGAGCCAGCCAAGCACTCCACAACACTTCATTTTTGTAAAACGTCATGAAAACATTTTAGAAAATGGATATCATATTCATCAAGCAAGGTATACTTTAGAATACACTCAACAAAGTGATTACTACCCAGCCTCATGTTACACTATTCTCTCTGTACTGTTTAACATTTTCCTTAGTATTTTCAGACATTCAACACAATACAAATAAAGATCAGACTATAATTAATATGATTCCATATTCCACATTCCAATGGTGTATGTATTACATACTCTTCAAAATATTTGAAAAGTTGTAGGGACCAAATTAGTTCATTAACAATAGAGAAAATGGGGTAGATAGGACACCCTATCTACCCTACAGATATTCTGTGGTTTAAAAAAAAAAAAAGAGAGAATATGCATATTAGTTAGAAGAACAAGTACATTTTAGCAAACAGTCCTGAAGAAAATTTCTGTGCCTCTGATCATAATGAAATAGTATTTATGAATAAAACTATTACTTTTAACCAAGCCAAATCAACTTGACACTTGGAATTAAAAAAAAATAATTAACTTTTCCCTTCACTTTGTGCTCTACTTCTTCATACAGATGCTTTATATAACACTGCTAGAAAGCCAGAAATTAATACAATAGCAAGAACTGAAATCCTAGTATTTGTCTAGTAGTTAGAGCTGTTTTATTAAAGTCTGCTGAGGCATTCAAAAGAAAGTGAGATGAATTTGATTTTTAATTATTTGTGAAGGAATAAGAAAAATTGGGAAAGAGAAAGGTAAAGAAGTTCATGTGGGTTTTATTTTTTGTTTGTTGGTTTTAAAGTTGCAGCTATTTTGTGTGGGTTTTAAATTTTTTTACAGGTAGGGTATTTTAAGGCAAGTGTTTGGGTAAATGGAACTAGGCTTGTGCTCACCGAGGAATCTTGACAGAAAAAGGCTGAGATTTGGGAAAAAGAGATGTCAAAACTACAACGATCTATCAGATGTACCTGCTGTCCAACAAAGCATTAAGCAGGAATGTCTAAGTACTTAGGGGTAGAAAGCTAAAGATATACACACTGTCTGTTTATTATGGAGGAGAAAAAAAAATCAAATTCATGCTTTTAGTTTTAAATTTCAAGTACCAAATTCAAGTACGAGGTTATAACTTGGTCATGAGATGCTTAACAAATGAAGGAACTAACAAATTTTTTTAAAATCATGTCTTCAATTTGACAAAAAAGTTAGGCTTAACACTATTTTCATGTGTCCATATCCCTTACTTCTCAAAAGAGGTAAATGAGTAATTCAATAGCTTTGGGATCAGAAGTAGAACTCAACAATAATTATTAAATCTATTAGCTATTCTCATTTACTGTTATCTAATTACTCATTTCAAAATTATCTACTGATGATTCTTTTTTTTTTTTAAAGTAAGCTCTGGGCCCAATGAGGGGCTTAAACTCACAAGCCTCAGATCAAGAGTCACTTGCTCTACCAACTGAGCCAGCCAGGAGCTCCTCTACTGATAACTCTTAAAGAATATGATATATAATTTCAAGAGAATTTCAGAGTACATGATTTGCAATATCAAAAAATCCTATCGATTTCTCCAAATAAAAGATTCCTTCATATAATGTAATCTTCAATAAAATAGCTTTGATAGAGGCAATGTTATACTCTACTATAAGATAAAGTGTGTGAATACATTTTATAAAGTATCATATTAAAATATATAATTATCATATTAATTTTTTAAAGTACTCTATAGTAACATGTTTAAACATTAGTAATGTAGCTTTTCCTCTTCTAAACCCCAATATTTCTTATATGGTGCCTATCATTTTCTTCCATACAGTATAAATAGTTACACATAAATCATATTTCTTTATGAGACCATAAGGAGTTTACATCCATAGGCATATCTCAGTATATTCAACAGCATCTGACCCAGCAGATAGAGACATTATGTTTTGAAAGTAAAATACTGTAATTTCTGAGGGTAGAAACAAAGATCTAGTATGAATTATGTTAGCTACTGTGCAAAGTTTTTGATTTTTTACAGTAGTGAACATATAGATAGGAGCAGAACTCTTCTTTCCCCTCACTAATAGTGCAGTTTTATACCAAAGAGAAGCAGGTATGAATTTAGAACTGGTAGCAGGTAAAAGAGGATTACCTTAAGAAAAGACACATGGGATCTCTAAAATAAAATGAAATGAAATGAAATAAAATACATTAAATTAAAATGCTGAGATTCTTCTCACGGTATTTTACTGACTGTATTAATTTTATTCACTGAGTCTGGAATGCCATTAAGCATGCTATCTTACATTCATACTACTATATTTTTCCTTTAAAAAAATACTTAAAGGAAGCAGTAAAAACAACCATTCTACAACTAAAGAGAAAGAGACAGGGAGACATACAGCAGGTAGTGACAGACAAAGAAAAGAGAGAGATAGGCAGAGAGAAATTCTATACAGTGGTTCTTGGTCATTTAATTAAAGCTTCAGGCTTTGAGGCTTCTCTTCAGTAAACGGTGCTACAGTGCTAGGAGAGAAATTGTCAACATTCATTCAACAAGGAACATACTGACAATAATAACTGTAAAATCAAACATTTCTGGGTGAAAAAAAAGAAACATTTCTGTACCTTAATATCAGATGTATCACGCTGACAGTTTCGCCAGGCTCTGGAAACTGATGAAAAGGTTCGATCTGCATGATCAAATTTCCCTCCTTGCAAATTTAGGAAATAAGTTGTGAAAGGTTCCTAAAAAATAAGCAATTAAAAAAATCGGTATGTTTCCTCATGCATAAAAATATGGTTTTTATAAATCATTATATTTAGATACTGTAATGACTAATAGACATTAACCAGATATATACAAACTAGATATAGAATGGGAATTATATCTAAATTACTATATTAATGTACTTAAATTATTTTTGTTTCAGAACAAAAGAAATATTTCCAAAATTTGGCATTTTCAACATTTTTCAGATTCTCTTCTTTTCCAAGAACAATTTATTAATAAAATTCAGACATATATTAGAGTGCATTTTCTTCATAATATAGGGGAATAGCCTAATGTGTAATTTTCTGATTGTTATGGCTCAATATTTAATTTATGATTAAGAAAAGAAAAATGTTTAGAAGATTTAAAAGCCTCCTCTTAGTTAAAGAACACTTAAACACATATTAGTGGATAATTGCTTGAAATTAGCTAAGCACTATAAATTACTTCTAGGATTTATGTCTGCCTTACCCTTCTAACAAGCTTTAATTAATGATGTGCTGCTAATGCTTTCCCAAAGAAATTACTTTCTAGTAGATGAATCACCTTTCAATTTTACAGAAACATTTCTTGTTTAACCAATATATTATCAATACACAGCAGCCTTGGTATAATCTATAAACATACCTTATTCCATTTGGGGCAACTGAAGTTTCTGAAACATATGAATGTATGTCTATCTTAACAAAATCTTATTTAGCTCTTATTTAAATAGACTCTATTTCAAATAACCTATGTTACAATTTAGAGTCTGAGGAGATATCAAACATTTGAAGAGGAAAATTTAAGAAAAAAAAATTCACATCGTTCCAGGTGAAACATTTTCAAGGCTATTCTACTGTAAAATGTTATCAGATACATACCAAATGGGATAAAGAGATACTTATAATTAGAAAACTAATCACTGAAAAAAATTAGCATTCAAAAAAGATGCTGATGACTTTTAATTGCTGCATATTCTTCACAACACTGAATTTATGTATTCATGGTTTATTACTCAAACTGAACTTACTATTCTTAGCAGCCATGCAAGAACGAAACTTGCAGTTGAGTAATGAGTACCATAGTGGAACCTGGGAACCTGATCATCTTCCCACGATTCATAACGTTCTGCAAAGAATGCTGCTCTTTTTGGATTCAAAGCTCCTACTGGCTGCCAATAGAGAAGGAAAAAACAAAATAAGAATGCATAAATGTAATCATCTTTTACTTCTTTCTTCAAGTGTTGTCCTATTAGCCAGTGTGAAAGTGAATATTAAAAGACATATATACACTATCGGAGCTAAAACATTGTGTTATATACAGAGAGTGGATAGAATTTTTTTTTTTCCAATGCAGGTTAAACATACACAAAAAAGTGAAAGAAGAAACCGGTCATTTCTCAATGAGTCCAATTTCTGTTGAATATAGGTTTTTAATCAGCCCATAACAAGCATTTTCATAAAGACAATTACATAAAGTGAGTATTAGCTATATAATACTTTGGAAAGCACCTATAAAATCCTATTTAGTTAATTAGAAGCAACAACCAGAAACACAATCTTGATGTTAGAGGATTAATTTACAATAGCTTCTAAGAAGAAGATGAACAAAACTGGAAGGGAACGAGGAGTGTAAGGAAGAGACTGAGTGAAAAGGGATTAATGTAAATCTAGAAATTTCTACTAGTATACATAAAAGTAGAATTTAGGATATAAAAAATCCCTGCCTAAAATATAAAATATATATATATATATATGTATATGTATATATATTATATATACAAACATACAAAGAATAGAAGACAGAGAGAGTACCAGCTTGTACCAAAAAATAATACATTATAGCAGAGGGCCAAAAAGCAGTATAGCAAAGTGTTGAAGAACGTGGCCTCACTGGGATAGTAACAGCACCCAGTCAGAAGGTTGTTTTGAAAATGAATAATTACATGTAAAGTCCTACAAACCATGCCTGACAACATTCAATGATTGCTAACTATTTCTTTTAAGATTATCTTCCAGAATTGGGGTAAAGTTTGATTGAAATAATAGCCTGTAAAACCCCTGGAACATCGCTTGGCATAAGATAGTAGCTTGATAAACGTTAGCTAGTATCAGTATTGTTGCTGTAGCTGTTGTTACTTAGGGAATACACGAACTCCATTAAAAAGTATGCAAAATTTTGTGTGATTATGCACATGTACATTTTCTTAAGGAAGGCATACAGAGTATTAAGATTCTCAGAGGGGTCTGACGGCTCAAAGAATGCTAAAATCAACTGCTTTAAGTAATAACTCATTTTCATAAAACATTCTGATCTCTAGAAAATGTCTATTCTTTATTTAAAATATAATTACCATTTCACTGAAAAAAAGCTATATATAAGGTTACTTAATGAAAACTTAGGAGTTAGTCACTCTTCACCAATATGAGGAAGAAAATACTTAAATTTATCTTTATTATTTATGGGGGATATGTGTTAAACTGAAATAAATAAAAAATGTGGGTTTAAAAACAGACGTATTCAGAAATATTCTGTTAAAAATGAAGCAAAGTTGAATTTGTTTTTAAATTGCTTTTCATGTTAACATGTGATTTAAAGCAACATTTTAAATTCATCATTTTGGCTATCTTATGTTAATTGTTAACTATTTTTTAAAACTATTTATCTTTAGCACTGTCCTCTTTCTATAGATTGGTTTGAATCAATATTGTAAGTCATTTTTTACTGTACAAGCAAATCTTCAAAAAATCTTTCATTGATTACTATTTTAAATCAGTATCATGGTACACTAATTTAAAATGCCATCTTTTAAAGCAGTAGTTTCTGTACAGAAGAATTAAATCTGATTTACTACATTTATGCCAGTTAAGAATGAAAGTGACTCCAAAAAATCTTTGTTACAAAACCAATTTGGAATGCCTTTAAATGTATTTTAGTTGTTGTCCCTAAAGACTGAGGCATGCAAAAGGAAAGAAAGAAGAAATAAAATCATTGGAAGACAAATTATGTGAATTAAAAATAGAATCAATGCTCTTTTTGTATAGTTCTGCAGCATATTAAGTATCCACTTTATCTGCTATTTTTATTACTCTCCAAATGAGTATACCTCCAAAATCAATAGTTATAGAATCACGTTTCTTGAATATAATGCTAAAACCAATTAGGATTGATTTCACCAGCATCTGAGAAAAAAATGGCATCGTGCAGAGATCCATATAGGTAGAACCCACAGTATTGATTCTGGCTGTTATTGTTACAGTTGGTTTCTGAAGCCTGCTACAGGACAGCTATCAAGACATACCACATTTATTTGTAAGCATATAAAAAAGAAGTCCCCAAATAAAAGAAGGTTAAAAAAAAAAAAAAAGACCAGTGGAGCTGTGCAATGACAATGATACACTATCAGCTTACTCAGAGAAGTTACAGTGGGAATACACACATTGAATTATACATTACGCGAAAGCACTGATTTATTGTGGTAATAACATCCACCTCATTAAAAGATTCTGCTTTGCTGCAGTTGGAAGGCTACATATTGTTTACTGCTATAAATTAATGGCAGTGCAAAGAAGACTGTGGAACCATCCTAACAATAGATCTGTAATGACAGTGCTGTATATCACAGCTTCCTCAGCAGCTTCATAATAAAATGGAGACAATGTATTGAGCTAATACATTCTACCATGCTGGCCCATATTTTTCTGACAACTGCTTTAAAAGATGAGCTGAATCCAACTACGTTATAATGCTGCAAAACATTTAACTAAGCAAGAGTCAGTCATACACCAAAGTGCTTCGTAGCATTTTTAAAACATTGTCTAAATCAGCATTTCAAGATGTTTATTCATCTCTGCAAAAGAACTAAAAGTAAATGCTGATGGCTCCTCTTACTTACACAGTATATTAAGAGTAACAATTGGAAGGCAATTCAAGAAGATGCCTAGCACTATCTCCTACAGGGAGCTCTTTGTACAGTTTAACTATAAAAGCTTGACAGAGTATTTTTTTACATCAGCAAATTGATTAAGGGAAGAAGAGCAAAAATACTGGTCATTTAAAATGGTCATAACTTCCTGGAAAAAAATCAATAAAAAATAGGTATTGATTAGAGAGGTGCAATTCAAGGTCATAACAAAGTAAAAATAAATAGCCCTAGGACATAGAAAAATAATTTTAAAAATTATAAAAAGCTAATAAAATTATATAAGATTTTTAAATCTACAGAATAAAAAGCACTTCCACCAAAACAAGATAAAAAAGTGGTTCAAATAAAACAGAATAATTTAAAAATTACACTGTGAGGACTACCAACAGAAGCATTACATTTGGAAAAAATAGAAGAATCTGGATTAAAATAGGAAAAGAAAAAATTAAAGGAAAAACCCACCAAAACCCTTGAAAATGTATAAATAGAAAAAAAATCACTATTCTTAGGATATTCTAATCTCACAAATAGCAAAATTGACAACTGTGGTAGAGTGATAAGTAATGTTTTTAACAACTCTTTTTTTTTTTTTTAATTTTAGAGAAAGAGAGTGCAAGCAGGGTAGAGGGGCAAAGGGAGACAGAATCCCAAGCAGGCTCCATACCCAGCATGGAGCCTGGTGCAGGACTCGATCCAACCATCCTGGGATCATGACCTGACCCGAAATTAAGAGCCAGATACTCAACTGACTGAGCTACCCAGGTGCCCAAGTGTAAGTATTCTGTTTGAGAAATAATAATAACCCTTCCAGAACAAGATATGCAAAACAAAACTTTCTAAATCAAGTGTCCTAAGAGTATTACAATTAAAAAAAATTCTTTTTATTACCTTTCTTGAGAAGTAATTTTGCTAATTAGTAGAGAAACAAAAATACTGCATGTAAAATGCCCAGCTCAGTGCCTGGCATACAGTAAGTTATTCATTATAATAATTATTACTATTTTGAAGCTTATTTGATGAATAATATTAAAGAAAAAAACTACTAAGCAAGCCTGATGAAATTAGCAGAGTCTGTTAGGAAAAAGGTAATTAAATATCATAATCTTCTAATGGTACATATGGTACTGTGCATTATCTGTCAGAAGCCCAATAGTACACAGTAGTCCCAATAAGCTACCTTATCCTACCTCAAGAAAATAACTAAAAGCAAAACTACTCTTCAGAAGTCCAAAGGGCATCCAAACGTTACTATGAAAAGCATATGAAATGTCAAGCAAATTACAATCATCTTCTACTACATCAATTAAAAACAAACTGCTTTGGTTTCATAGACCCCTTCAAAGGCATATAACAGACTTTCATCTAATTACTAGTAAAAGTTAACTGTAAAAAGAAAAGGCTTTTTTAGAGTTGATACATTCTAAGTTTTTTTTCTTTTTAAAAATTTTAAGAAATGTTACCTGAGGTTATTAATACCTCTAGCTAACACTTTGCAGTTTATGAGATATTATTACACATTCTTACAGTACATATGTGAGCTAGATATCCCTGTTTTTTGTTTGTTTTTATTTGAGAGAGAGCATGTGCCTAGAAAGGGAGAGAAAGAGAAAAAGAGGGGGGGAGAGAGAGAGAGAGAGAGAGAGAGAGAGAGAGAGAATCATAGGCAGGCTCCACACCGAAGTTAGGCCTGATCCCACACCCCTGGGATCAT